ACTTCGGTCTATCCTTTGGAATGACCTCCCATTCTGACACAGTAGGCTCACCTGAGGGGCTAGGGTTTACCCGAAGCTTTCTTGCAGTCGCAACTGCACCTTTCTTCTTCTTCGGACCCTTTGATGCTGAGCTTGATGCAGCACCGCCGCTGCCAACAGCCATCTTTTCAGCCTCCTCCTCAACGAGCTTTTGCCTATCCTTTGGACTAAGCATTTTCCAAAAATCTGATGGGATTGACTCAGGGCGTTTTGACCCTTTGTACGTTTTCACAAGGCGTGTTCCGTCCCAATGATATCCATCCGGGATTGGTGTTCCAGTTGGAGTGTACTTGATATCAGGAAAAATTGTTTCTTCAGCCGGCTTTTCATCACTGGCAAGTGCGTCAAGCACTGCCTCCGTTGACTTGTCAATTGCTTCTTCACTTGCTTCTGCGTGTTCCTCAGTTTGCAATTCAGATTGAAACGGAATCGGACGAGGATCAGCAATGACATTGTCCGCAAGACGGTCCGGCTTGGGCTCTTTGGCCTCTTTCAATGCACGGAGTGGGAAGACAAAACCTCCCGCGATGAGCTCAACACGTCGTGCTCGCTGCACTGTGATGCTGCCCGTTTCTGCATGATAGTCCAATGCTTCTAACTTGGCAACAAGATACTCACCCTTCCATGCAAAACCAGGTTGAATATGGTATCCCAAAAAGATTCCATCATTTGCAGTTGGTGATGTTTTTCCAGATGTGTTGTCAACCCTTTCTGGATTGTTCCAAAACAGTATCTTTGCACCGAAAGGAATCAACTGACCTGGAAAATCTTCTTCGAATCGGAGTTTCCATGGGGCATCATCACCGTTGAGCTGTGGCGTGGCATTCACTGCCATGGAGAAATGCTGCATAGCCTGTGGCCAATACTGCAATGGAAGACCGGACTGCACCAGGTTTGTGCGTGTGCCTTCAAGCATGTGCCTGATCTCCCTCTCCACAAACGACTTTGAACTGTCCACGTACTCTGTTGATGTTTGATGTCTGTACCCCAACTCTGAAATTGTAGCAATAAGTTCTCTTGAATTGTCAGTGTAAACTGCCCCGACTTCATCCTTATGAGATAAGAAGTGGTTGAAAGCGTTGACACATGACTCACTTGATTTGGTCTGACTTGGATAAACGTGCCTGAACTGAGTGTGGATGTCCTTCATCACCAATGCCACTGTTTCACCTTTGACGCCTTCTTCCACATTGGATTTGATTACAGTGTGGTCAGCGACAATGCGATCCCCAAAACTTTTGGTTTCCAATCTTTTCTGTCCTCCCTTCTTCTTTGCGGGTGGCGCCATCATGCGCGCCTTCTGACAGATCTTGCAAAATGGATTCTTGGGGTAATGGCAAAATTGGTGAGATTTGCTGCATGCCTCTTGCTCAAGGTCGGATGCCTTTCTAGACCTGATGTAATCGGTTTCACTATCATGAGCTACTCCCTCATCCACACCTTCTTCATCGGCACCTTCTGCTTTTGCAGCAACCATTGCAAAGAGACGTAACAAATCACAATCTTTCTTGAACTGTCCACTGTTCAAAACACGACAAGAGCTATCAATGACCGGCACACGGCCGTCTACATTAAGCTCGATGACTCCCATATCCGGACGAATGAAGTAAGGCCTACCATCAGCCGGCCAAACAAAACTGTATCCCTGTTCCATACATCTTACCCCGACCGAAAGGTCTCAAGAATGTATGGTGAGAACGGCTGGTGTAGGGCATCGACTTTTACGTCGGCCACCTCATCCGCACGTGTCGAACCGTTGGCTGTTGCAAGACTGATTGGAGTGTCGCTGACACGGCGATTTGTTGCCTTTGCAGTCTTCAACATGCCTTCACTGATCAGGTCCTGTTCACTACCAGTATCGACCAACCAAACACATCCGTCTTTTGAAGCAGGAGTGGCAACAGTTGGCAAATGAGTGTTACTGAGTTTGTTCTTTGGACCGATCAGGGCTCTGCAGTGGTTACATGAGACTCCGCCTTCAGGGTCGTTGCATCGGAAACGGCACTTGGGCTGCACATCGTTGCCGAAGAGCTTCACAAGTTCCTGCAACTGTCTGGCCGAAACCTGAGCACGGTGAGCAGTGAGTTTTTCCGGCTTTGGCACTGACTCTGAATCGGGGAACGTCTTCTCATAGATTCAGGGTTTGTGCACTACCTTTCTCTGTTCACCTGTTGCTGGTACTTTGATGTATTCCACTTTTGATGAAAACACAACAGCTCTATGGCATTGTTCTTTCATGGCCTTTGTAGCCTTTGGCAACCCTTTTCCCTTTGCTATGCATGCATACCTTTGAGTAATGCATGGCGCAGCTTTTGCACTGGCCTTCTTCTTTGGTGCAGGGCTATTAGTGCGCTTTGGATCCTTTGTGGGTGCAGCTGCAACTTCATGTTTGTAGAAACATTTGTCACCGCGACGACATTTGCCCTGTTGGAAGTAAGTGCATGGGATCTTGGCCATCTCTTCCCTTGACTTTCTGTTAGGGGAACCACTTCTGCTACCGCCTTTGCCCTTACCCTTCTTTTTGGGGGTGCCAGATCTTGAGGAATCTTTGACATGCTTGTAGGGACAGTCTTTACCCTTTTCGCACTTGCCATCCCTGAATTTGTAACATATCCTATCCCCTTTTCCACTCTGGCTCCGACCACGGGGTCGACCTCGATCGCCCTTTCCTTTGCCGCGATCTTTGCCCCCCTGAGCGGGTGCAGCGGGCTGAGGCTTTTCGGTCTGTTTGTTCTTTTCAACGATTCTGTTTCTGTTTGAACGGAGTCTTTCTCTATCCAAAAGATCACGACTGTTTCTCAACAAGAATGCATAAGACTTCTGTTCCGACTTTTCAGGAGCTCTGTCGAATGCTTCAATGTCATACTTCATCAAATGGCATTTTCGAATTTGTCTGAGTAGGATGTCTCTGAGAACCAAGTCATCTGGTGGGGTTTCCATGCCGGCAATTGTGGCGTCCCATCGGTTCAAAAACCTTCTAAGGTCCTCCACAGATTCTCCAGTGCGAATGACTCCAAGTAGGTCCTCCACACGATAGAGACTTCCGGCTTCCTCAGACGTCCTGAAGTAGTCTTCAAACATCAAAAGGACTCTCCTACCTCTAACTTGGATCCCTTTCTTTGACTTCTCATCTTTGAAGTTGTGGATCTTTGTTGCTAGATCACCTTTGGCCGAGCGAGTTAACGCTGCCGACAACTTGGTATCGAGTGTGATGAATTTCCCAGGTTCCTGTAGCTTTTCCTCCAACTTTTCCCTAGGAGTTTTGTTGTCAAAGACTTCATTGAGCCAAAGCCAAGCCTCATCGGGTTTATCGGAGCACGACTTGACTTCATCTCTGACGTGATTACGCCAGTGACGGTACGCTTCTGGGGCAGGCATGTCGTTCAGTTTGATAGTCTCTGCCTCTTTTGTTCGGGGCTTTTCACCATCTGAATCCTTTGAAGTCAGTCTAGTGATGAGATCTAGCAATTGTTGACCTGAAAGACCTAAGCCTGCATCAGCAGCTTTCTTGCCGGTGTCGCTTGCTATTGCTGTAGGTCGCTTGCTATTGCTGTAGGACTGGGCACACTTGGTTCTTGGTTTGCATCATCGTCGTTTTGTCTTTGAACGGGCAATGGTGGCAGTTTTGGAGGTGCTGCTGATCCGGCAGGGGTTGTTGAGAATAAGTTGCTCAATCTTTCTTTTGCATCCATGGCTAAGCTGCCCATACCAGTGTTTGGCATGGGTTCTGCTCCAGCCTTCATACCGACCGCTGATTTTGGGGTCAAGTACAAATCAACGTTGTTTCCGCCTTGTCCATCATCAACTTCGACGGCTCTGTCGACCTTGATTTCAGGGGCGCTGTACTTGTTGAGCTTCTCCATCAAATCCTCCACTTGTCCCTGCAGTTGATAGTTGAGTTCAGCAGCTTGGTTTTCCTGCCTACTGCATTCCTCTCTAATCTCCTGGATTACAGCTTGTTCCTCCCTCTTGAAACCTTCCATGCCGTTCTTTGCATACTCCACTGTTTCGTCCACGATTCGTTTACAGTCTGCCTCGAGGCTACCTCTGAGTTCAGAAAACCTTTGTTCGTACTGGGCTGTAACATGGGCTACCTTTTGGTTTGCTCTTTGCTCAGCTTCCAGTGCAACTGCATTTGCAGCGTTCTTCAGCTTTGCGTTTGCATCGCTAAGTTCCTGTCTCAGTTTTGCGACCTCATGCTCAGTTGCCGTTTGGGACATTGAATACTCTGACACTAGGTGTTCATGTCTACGATCAGCTTCTGCACGTTGATGGGCAATTTCACTAAGGCAAATTCCCTCAAATTCTTGGTACAGTTGCTGGACCTTTTGTTCCATGAGATGCGTGTGTCTCTCTTCTGCCTCTTGTCTGAAAGCGTCAATGTTACCTTCATTAATGTAGGTAAGATTGTTCTGCACGAACTGAAAATATGCCTGGACGGGCTGTGTGAAGAAACCTTCATCTACCGACATGGGCGTGGGAGTTGCCCCAGCCGTCGCAGGCTGAGATCCAGTTGATGCAGTCGCCATGGTTCCTGAAGCAGGTACGAGAGCGCCACCACCTGTAGCATCATGTGACTTGTCCATGGCTTTAGAGACTACGGCTGATAACCTGTATTTTCAGGTTTCAGCAGGGGTAATTCCTATTACACCCAAATGGACTGATAAACCTAAAACAGGGGACAAATACAACCGTTAAGCTAGCGGTCAAGCGCCTTTTTACTCGAGCCGCAATGCTAGTAAGCATGCTACGTATGGTTACAGCTATGTTTTTACATGGGATGCAAATACAGAATAATGTTGAATAACAGAATATAAACATGAATATAACAGAATATAACAGAATAACACTGACATATCCTTGAGACTTCTTGAGACTTTACATCCAACTCCAGCTGACATCAACATCATCAACTGACACCAATGATTCGCCAATGATTCGCCAATGATGGTCCGAGTTTCTGATGAAGTTCAATCTAAAGAACTCCCAGAACAAGGAGAAGCCACTGATGTTCCAAATCGCGTCTTCACCCTTCTCAATCTCTTCCCGGTGCTTGTTCCCCGGGAAGGCATCATCGTCTATGATCTCAGTTGATACCACTTGGCATCCACCATCAAGATTCAGAAACAAAACCATTGTTGATCCATGTTGATCCTTTGAGAAATCTGCGAATTGACTATTGCTGTCAAGGGTCCAGCCTGCTAAGTGCTGGGATATTATGGGATACTCATATCTTGAGCGCAATGTGTTGGGACATGTTGGGACATGTTGGGACATGTTGGGACACTCAAGCTCCTGGGTCTCGTACTTTGACTCGGCATTGCTGCAGATCCTGTCCCAACCTCATTTGCTCCACAGGATTTCATGGCCAAATGAACTTTCAACTCAGATCTCGTCAGTAATCCCCAGGTGATCTGAAGAGCAAACCATTTCACGTTGCCCAATTCCCAAATCGGACCAAACAAACCAGATCCCAAAGCATATATGCTTGAAGCATAAAATGTGTAAAGTAAGTTGAAGATTGAAGATGACGTAACTCGAAAATAGCTGAGGCCTCTGCTTGCAATTCTGTGGATGGGTCAAGACAACCCTAAATTCTGTTGATGGCGACCAATTGTCATCATCGTTAATGACCTTGGAAGGTCAACACAAGGAGATTCGGCGAGCTTAGAATGCTCAGGCTCTTCAACTTGTTTGCCAACAGTACAACCTTTACCATCCTTTATCATCCTTTATCATCCTTTCTCCAACTGCATAAGCCACTTTTCTTGGGTCCATCCACGGTGGCACGGAGCGCCGCCTGGGCTCCACTGGGCTCCACTGGGCTCCACTGGGCTCCACTGGGCTCCACACAACGCTGATTTCCTTGGCATCTTCTCCGTGCTCGAAGATCAACTCTCCTGGAGAGCTGAGAAACCACTTCGACATCCAAATGGACAAACATATCAAACAATATCAAACATATCAAACATATCAAACATCATCTACCAATATCTACCAGGTGTACAAAAAAAAACTGAATTCAATCATATTAACAATCATATTAACAATCATATTCAATCAAACTCTCCGGACAAGATCAAATAACATCTTACCATCCAATTGGGCGCCAAGCAGGCACTTTGATCATGTTTGACCCATGTTGATCCACTGTGTCACTTGTCCTGTGACCAAACCTCAGTACTCTCGTGTCCGTGCCTGAACAAGCTTCGAACTCGCGGCCAGAAAGTGCAGATGCATCTTCGGTATGGTATTTCACCTCAGGTGTAAACAGCGATGAAATAGCGATGAACGATGTGTTTACACCGCATGAACGATGTGTTTACCAACAACTTGGGACATGGAGTCGTTTGTTCCTTTCCTGCCAAGGTGCACTGCACCGTCCCTTGAGGGAGCCCAGTCGCATGATATCCTTGGTGACAGGGAAATCATGGGAAATCGAAACAAGTCCAGAGTGTCCACCTATGTCCACCTATGTCCACATATGTCCACATATGTCCACATATGTCCACCTGTCAAGGCACAGAGCCAGATTTCCAGGAGCATTGCAGCATTTCTATGCATTTGCTGGCATGTGTATGCATTTCTATGCTGTCATACCTATATTGTCAGAATGGGATTTAGATGGATTTAGTGGGACTATGAGTGACTCGTAGTGACATTAGTGACTGCAACTTACTGTGCAACTCATGTCTCACACGTCACAACTCTTGGGACTTCCATCCAAGGAACAATCACCAAAGGGGATTCGCCTTCCTGCGCAAAATAGAGCTGGCAACAAAACCTGAGTGTCGACAAGTCATAGCTGCTATAGCTGCTAAGCCGTCATAGCGCAAGCCCAAACTGTCTATGCCGTCTATGTCTTTCTTGAATGCTCACTCCAAAGGCAATACCTTCCAACATCTTCCAATGATTCACAAGGCTGCTTGCAATATGTGTTTGACCCACAGAACCTGGCAACATCTGGCAACATCTGGCAACATCTGGCAACATCTGGCAACATCTGGCAACATCTGGCAACATCTGGCAACATCTGGCAACATCTGGCAACATCTGGCAACACCTGGCAACATCTGGCAACATCTGGCAACAATCTAATCAGTTCATGTCACCAGTACCGACCAGTACAATCATGGAATCCGTAGACCTGTCACTTGTCACATCTTGTCACCGTGTCACCAAGGGACTGCACAATATCTGGGACTATCGGCCTGTCGGGCCTGTCGAGCCTGTCGGCCTTTGAATTCATCATGCCGTCCTCTCACGTTTGTGAGTACGACGTGATGCCCGGCGTCCGGCAAAAAGTCCAAGTGAAAATATAATCGACCTGATTGAGTTGCTTCAGCTTTGTTGAGCATTGTGAGGTTTGTGGAGTGTCTCGGGAAATGTAGGGAAAATTCTCTCACTGAATTTAAAGGATTGAAATAAACATGACGTTCTGCAATTGCAAAGCTTGCGATGCACGAATTGATTCTGATGTTTGAACCGATCAGGCATGCACTCAAAAATAATCCAGCACATGTTGGTCAAACACAAGTGGGAGAAGACTGCTTTAACCTGACACAGAACACCTCAGAACACCTCTCCAGCCATATCATGACTCAAAGGCAAGTCAATTATGCTGAAACTTTGCCAGACCTGAATGTGCATGGGGCTTTGCGGACTTTCTCCCGAATGTTCGACTTGTGGCAAAGCATTACCAACAACTGCTGGAGCACCTTCTTTTCGCAGCCCGGCGGGTCAAATCTGTCTGAATCTCAGCCCCAGCTAAAGCCTGCACTGTCTTCAGTCAAATTCAGTGTCCCCCTTTTTGAAGACAATATTGCTGAGACACAATGCCTCTGAAATCCTCTGAAACAAACATGGGAGAACAGGAACGCTTTGATGATTTCAATATATTTCAATGCATTTCAATGCCGTATCACAATTGTCACTTAAGGTTGGCGGCTCAACATTCGTGTCATCGTGTCATCGTGTGCAGGGACCCTGCAGGGATCATCCGATCCGATGGGATCTCAAGGGGATGATCCGCAACGCCAACGTTATTGAAGGCTTCATAATATGGGTGGTCATAACTTAGTTATAACATGTTATAACCATCGAAAGTACCCTCTGGTAATTTAACATAGCTATTGAAAATGGTGATTTATAGTTGATTTACCTATTATAAATGGTGATTTTCCATAGCTACGTTAAATTACCAGAGGGTACTGGGTTCATAAAGGATGCCACGGCCCGGTTGGGCCAAACATTTGTGTGAACATGTGTGAACTTCTGGCATTGTTTGGACTCTTCCAACGGAGTTCATCACGTTGCCAATCTTTATGTCCAGCTATCAATTGTTTCTGGTGATGCCCAAACCACCAACGACTTACCATCACCAACTGGGGTCTTGGGCACTATTGTGTCTGGTTTAAGTCAAAATACCATTACCATTCGGTAATCAAACATGGCAATTGGAATCCTCTATAAATGTACGTTTTAATGGATAAAAACCGTCTATGGAGGGTTTCCATTGCCATGTTTCCTCACAGGGTTGTGTCCTCACGAAAGCAATCATGCCATCTGAATTGTAGTTTGCCATCCCATGATCTAGACATCGTAACATCCTCCAAGCAATTCCTTCAAATCCTTTCATCCAAATTCTTATTCAAGCGTATAATCATGAATAATCCATTTGCATCCCATATCTATATGATTCTATATGTATATTAATCCCATAATGTCAATGTCCCATAAAATATCCACAGAATACGCTGTAAGATATGTCACAGGATATCCCATAAACTATCCAAAGGTATCCAGCAAGATATCTCAAAGCATAGCCCATATCATACATCCCATTTACCATGAGGATATTCTGGGATATGTCCCCATATTATTGGCTTATATCCCATCGAATCTAATTGCCATAATTGCCATCCAGTAAATTAACATAAACATGGAAAATGCATGAACAATCTAGAAATTTCACCAAACAAAATTGCACTTTTATTGAGAACAACTGATGATAATCCTTGGAATTACGCATGCCCAGTTTCATCCATTTTCAGACACTGTGACAAACCTGTCAAACCAGTAAAACTGGAGTTTGGTTTAACATGTTTAACAAATCCATGGATGATTTTGCAACAGAATGGAGGATCATGCCAGTTAGTAGCAATCTGGTTTTTGCCAAACCAAATCATGAACCAAATTAGATTCTCATGTGGGGGTGATTTCAACTCTGAAAGCTTCCTGGCGCCCAAGTATCCGCGATTACGGTCAGCTTCAAGAATGACTTGGAACATCTTGGAACCCAGCTGCTTCGTACAGTACCGCATCTACTTCTCCATGGTCTCTGCTCCATACTACGCGCTTGGACGATGTAGCATAAATTGCATAAAATGCATGATGAAAGTTGCAAAAGGTTCGGAATCCAATGCTGAAACAATAAACAAACCCGAACGACGCGGTTTCGGGGAGTGTATCTACAGATCTATAAGGTGTTCATTCCAGTCGGTATAAATGAATGGCCTGGTAATGTCTGGTATGGAGTTGGATCCTGCTTCCCTTGTCTTTGCTTCCTGACTTCCCGTGTCGATCATTTCAGTGCTTCGCTGCTCTGCCAACAGGTTTCAAGATCAAGAAGTGCCTGCTATGCTAGTTGTTTACTTGTTCGATCTTGTTCGCGGTGTTTGTGAGCCCTGATGTGTTGATGACCTTTTGCGAGACATGTGCTTCACAAATGGAGGAAGCTGGTTGGAAGAGAATGCGTTTTCAATCAAATACTTTTAGCTGCATTTTTATTCTTAGTTTTCCCGGCCCTGGGCTGCCCCGGGTGGGCCAGCCATGCGCCGCAATCAACAAGATTGGCCGATGCCATCGACAAGCCCATCACCTGACCGGGGCAGCCCAGGGCCGGGAGGGGCGCCGGGCCGATTGGCAGCATGAACCAGGAAGGTCCAAACGGACCTCCCCGGCTCAAGCCGCCAATCGGCCCGACGCCTCCCGCAATCGGCACCACCCAACTTTATCCCCTACCACGCCTGCGTTCGCCGCCCGCCCTATCAGTCGGTTGCTGCTGCCCATGAGAAAGAGAGCAAGCCTCCCGCCGGTCCACGCCTGGTTGCCCTCCATAGCGCCCGAACACGTCTGAGCGCCACGGGAACGAGAAGAGCGAAAGGTCCCAATTTGGGACCTATCCTCTTTCCCGTTCTTCCGTGACCCACAACGTGCTCTAGCACCAAGGAGAAGCAGTCCAGGCATGAGCCGGCGGGAGGCCTAGTCTCTTCCTCAAGGTCAGCAGCTTCCGAAAGACGGGCAGACCGCGAAGTCCCAGCCGGGGTAAGGGAGTCGGGCGATGCTGATTGTGATTTTTTTTCGGTCAGGCGAATTTGGCTAGCCTCTGGCTCCGTCTCGTTGAAGCAGCATTGCATAGCTGGCCGTTTGTTTTTCTTTTTATTTTCATAGCTGGCCATAACTCCATGTTGATGCAATCTCTTCCTTCCTTGTCTATGTCGGGCGGGAGCGCAAAGCTCACGTCTGAGAGTCCTGATGCAGCTGTCACAAGGTGGTCTGCATATCAGGTACAGCAATGAGTGGATGGCAATTTCTATACCTCAACCTACCTGCAAACTGGGTACAGAACATTACAGAACAATAAGAAACATGCACTTCACATCAAGGTTTGGATTCAAACTCGTCTTCAAAAAATGTTGTGAACTGCCCTGCCAGGGTTCATATCACCCGAGCACATACTCCCTGGCAGGCTCCTTAAGCGAAAAAAAACAATGTAGCTGTGACAATGTTCTTGACTGTGGCCACTGGATGATTCCGATTCTGGAACTATCATGAATTCCAATGAATTGTCAGCAATACAAAGCCCAAGGATGTCATTCCGGATTGTTCCATATGATTCAGCTCTTATCTTCCACAACAGCCTACCATGAACAACAGGACTACGGAAAAAGTGAACCACCACACTACTACAACGCTAGCAGTAGATAAGCGAATGAATCAAGTGGCATTTTTGCAAATTCTTGTCCCTGGTTCGGAGACCCTGCCAACATCTGCCAACATCTGCCAACATCTACCAACATCTGCTTACTCAACCAGCCTCTTATCCAAGCCGTTGCTTGTAGTAGCGGTCGATATCCACCTGACATGTGCATCTCTGACGCAGTCAGGAGGAGCAAGGATGGGCAGGCAAGATTCCCAAAGTTTTGTGATGCTGCGATGCTCTTGCTTTTTTGTTATCATGTCATGTCTCTGATATCCTGTGATCCGTAGTGTTCAATCTCTTCCTGAAAGTCCTGGTGCACCCCCAACTTTCACAAGTAAACAGGTATAACAGGTGTGCATATCACAAAGATCAGTGGGAATCTCTTCGGGTCAAACGGGTCAACCGGGATACAGTATCAAAAAACAACTTTGAGATCTTTCAGAAACATACACTTGATAAGACTTGATATCAAGAGATTTGGATTCATAATCTCACCCGCAACCAGCATCCATTGACCATCCTGACCTCTCGTAGGTGAATGCCAGCGACTCATTGCGTGTCAAAGGAAGCCATGCATTGCTCCTGCAAGAAACATCCACTTGCCATTTCAAAGAAACTCACGCGCGAGAGAAACTCAAGCCAGACTCGAGCCAATTGCAGAGAAACACATCAAGATCATCAAGGGAACATGACATACTAACCATGGTATGACGCATTATGACACTGTTCTTTGATGTTCGTAGGCCACTGGGAGGTTTCAGTTCTATCAATGACACGAAGCACGGATCCTTACACGGATGAGGTCGGCGAATGTCGGCGACATCGCTGCTTGAGCCATTCGGCAATTTGGAGATAACATGTTTCGAAAGATTCGAAAGTCATTGGACAAATATGACAAAATTATATATAGATTTCATCAAACTTTGATCCAAACATGTTGAGCCCTATTGATCAGCATACCTCATACATGCAGATACAACTAGTACATTAAGATTCTTCCAAGGCATCTCCGTGATTCAGGGACAGTCATGGCATGTCGCTTTCGCTGCGGTCCAACTATTTTTCTGTGCCACTTCATCCACAGCACAGCTACGATTTACACATGCAGCTGCTTTTCCATGCATTTGAAGTTGTATGTGTGTACACTAGCCCTGCTCTCCACTAGCGCTAGCTCAACACAGCTCAACTACGATTTTTGTTGTGGTCTGATGACTGATGATTTGTACGGAGTTGGATTCTGCCTCTCTCGTCTTTGCTGACTCCCTAATCATCCTATATAATCATCTGCATTGATCAATT